AGCTTTCTTCGCCGCATTTGCTTATGTACCCACTTTGTCTTCAGCATTTGTGTCGGGGTAGGCTGGTGTGCTTCTTCCTTATGGGTTTTGTTATTTCTTAGCTAGATGTGGTTTAGTGACATTCACAAAGCAAGTTAGTTTTCCATTCAAGAATTCATGCATGTCACAGCACTCTTCTCATTTCCTCCGTGTTCCCCACTCCCTTAGTCTTCCGCCTGCCCCTGCCTGCTGTTGAAGCTTCGTTTGGGGACAAATGTTATACTTTGGTCTCAGATGGTTGGTTTTCCTGAAGAAGAAATTCCCTGGTGTTACTGTTCACTTTAGAGATTTACTCTTCGGGCTGAACATTGATTCTTGGGGAGGTTCTGTTTCAGGCTTGAAGGAAATCTAAGGCTCACCATCTCAGGGGTCCCACTAGTCTCTTTCAGATCTGTATCTCTGGCCTTTTAAAAATGATTTTAACTTTTCTTGTACATTTTCCCCTTTCCCCTCTGTCCAAGACCTTCTGTCGTGGTTCCAGTTCGAGCAGTTGATATGATCGCTGGACACCATCTGGTCCTCATTGTAGTGGAGTCTGAGATTCACGAGGGCCATTAGTCCTGTGGACTAATTGTTTCCTAGAGTCTGATTTTCTTCACTTGTCTTTGCTACAAATGGGGAGATGACAATATATGCATTTTAGATACCTGCTTGCAAGATTTTAAGACCGTTGTTGCTACTCATTAAAGCAGAATCTAGAACGTTTTTGTGGATTATGGTCTGCCAGTTGACCCAGATGAACCCCACAAACTGTGGTTCTAAACCGCTCCCCCCACCCCCCAAGACTTAATATCTTTCTAGGAACCGACTTCCTCATCTGTTTCATGGTGAGTAGCTGGTGCTATGCTGACCATTTAGTTAGGAGCCTGACGCTTTATCCACTGTGCTACTGAGGCTTTCTGGTTGGTTTTTGTTGTTTTGGTTCTACTGTCTACAAAATACAGTGTGGATTTTGCACTTATTGGAAATATCAATTCACATGCCAAATTTTCTTTAGAAAGACTTTTAAATGAAATAATTTATGCAATAAGTCTTTTATAAAAATCTGTCTTTTATAAAACTCACATTTGAAAAATAAATCACCTACTCAAATGGTTCCAAATATACTTCAATGTGTTCTGATAGCTTCATCAGGTGTTCGTTTTAAAATGTAAATTGAAATATAGTCAGCATTTAATCTTCGTCACAGTAGGCATGTGTTAAGGGCTCAGTAGCCACAGGGCTACCACACTGGACGGCAGAGGTCTAAAAGTTGCGCTGGCAATGAGGAAGGAGACAGGTAAAATGTCACGTAGCAGGAAGAGGGAAGTGGAGATTCTGCCCGGGTGATAGAAATCTGTGCCTGTGCTTTACTTGTGACTAGGGAAGGGGCAGATAATTTCGAGATGTTGCAAGCATCGGGCGTGACTGAGGAGCCTGTGGCTTGCTGGTCACCTTTGCACGGAGGGACAGTAGGGACAGAAAACAGAGTGATGGTAGGCTGTGGAAGGGACCCAGTTGGGGTGGTGAAATACAGAGCAGTTCAGTGTGGCAGACCGCAGTCTGAAGGTTTCCAAGATTCTCGTCCACGTTTGTCACTTTGCCCTTCTCCTTTTCCTAGCATGCATGCCAGAAGAGAGCAAGGCACTTGGAATTGTAACCATTTCCCATGCTTTCAGTTCCTGGGAGCCTCGGAGGAGACCCTGTCCTGAGCTGAACTGGAAGTGCTCTCTGGAAAGGAAGAAGTCCTTGGGAATGGGGTGTCCTTCCCGCGTTAATTTACAAATGACACGTGGTTGAAAAAAATTAGTACTGTCTTCATGCCCTGTTTCTGGTTCTAAAATATCTGGTCTAAGGCCTTCATTTTCAGTCTGGAGAAAATTCTCATGGTCAGATCTTTACATGTTTGAGGGCTCATCCTGCCCAGTGGTTCATCTAGCCCAGTGCTGCGACCCTTTCATACAGTTCCCCATGTGGTGGTGACCCTCCAATCATAAAATTATTTTCCTTGCTACTTCATCACTGTCATTTTGCTACTGTTGTTAATCGGGCGAGCCCTGTGAAAAGGTCGTTCAACCCCCAAAGGGCTCGTGACCCACAGATTGAGAACCACTGATCCATAGCTGTATCCTGTAAACGAGCAAAATACTGTTTGGATTGACTCCAGGTAACAAGTGTAGGACACTGCCTTGTTTCCCAAAGCCCCGCAGCCCGTGGAAAAGCAGCAGCTTCCGCTGTTGTGTTGAAGACCTTTCACATGACCCCTGTCTGCATGCGTGTTTGAACATCTGACCCTATTCAGGTGGCCTTTTAGGGTCACTAACAGAATCAGCTTGATAACAGTGGGTTCACCTTTTAATCCTCGTTGTGCCATGTTCAGTGTGTTTTGGGTACAAGTCACTTAATCTTCCCCAGTTACATGGGAAGGATAATTGCCTCGTCTTACATATTGTGAGGAATACCGTGCTTATTATTAGTTGGGGACTAGGCTCTGGCTCATTGCAGCCCCAAGGAGAAACGAATGGAGCACCGCGAGTCCTGCACCGTCTTCACAGTTACTGGTCTACTCGAGCCCCTAGTGTGTTCCGATTGCTTTCCAGCACAGAGAGGCTCTTCTTCCAGCCCTATAAGAAGGGAAACCTAAAAGCTCACAGAAAATCCCATTATCTTTGATTCTCTTTTTCCACAAACTTTTTGAAGCCTCGTCATTTGAGACAACATTCTGTTGTAAGACAGAATGTTATTTATTTTTTAAATCATTTTATTGGGGGTTTGTACAACTCATCACAATCCACACATCCATCCATTGTAAGACATAGAGTTTAAAGGGGCTGATTTTCAGGAGTAGGTTGCCAGAAGGGGATGGCCAGCCCTTTCTTACGAGTCTTTGTCTGGAAGCTATGCAGAAATCTCACATTGGGAGACCCTGCTGCTGTTTGACATGCCAGTGGGTGGTTTCCAGCATCATATTTAAAATGAAAACAAGACAAAAAAATCATCCCACTACTGTCAAATCATTTCTGACTCCTCACGGCCCTATAGGACAGGACAGGTTAGGAATGTTCTCTCCCTTTTTACAAAAAGTCATTTAATTGGGAGCTTTTACAGATACTAGAACAATCTATAATTGAATTAGATCAACCATCATTTTCAAAACATTTTCTTTCTTGTTGAACTCTTTGATATCAGCTCCCATTTATCCCCTCTCTGTTCCTCCCCACCTCCCAGCAACCCCTATTATTATGAGTTTGCCGTATCTTGCACATCCAGTGTATCCATTCACCTGCAATTCTGTGACGCGTTCCCCTGGAGTGCGGGTCTACAGTCATCATTGCTGTCAGTTCCCCTTAATTAAAAAATATGTATTTTCTTTTCCTATCAAAACTAATAGGAAGTATTATGAGTGAAAATCTGGTGTTTTGTTGAATTACGTTGTTACTCCCTCTCTTCATTGATTTACAAGACTAGAAGAATCATTACAATGGACACTTGATTTTAAAGTGTTTCATAAATTAGAAAGATTAAAAAAATGCATCCCTGGGTAAAAAGAGCAGGATTCCAAGAGAATTCTACATTTGATGTTTTCAAATATATTACTGAATATGTAGAAGGATACCCAATTTTCATTATGAAAACTTTTTAAAAATAAAGATCATTTTACTAAAGCAGTAAATTACTTAAGCAGTAAACTCTTGTGGCTTGTTCTACATATTACTGTATAGAAGGATACCCAATTTTCATTATGAAAACTTTTTTTAAAGTAAAGATCATTTTACTAAAGCAGTAAATTACTTAAGCAGGAAACTCTTGTAGCTTGTTCTTAAGATTTGATAAGTGAATTTTTGCTGTGACCTAGAGAAGTGTACTGGTCAATTGCCTTTTCAGCCTCACCTCCTCCCCATACTCGTGTGTGCGTGCGTGCGCGCGTGCTTGCCTGTGTGTGTGTGTGCGTGCGCGTGTGTTTGCGTGCGTGTGATTGGTTATTGTTTACTGGTAGGAAAGGGTGGCGGCCTCTGAGGAGTCGTCACTTCCAACTAGGTCACTGGTGAAGAAGAGCTGATTCAAAAATCCCCTGGGTAGGAAAACTGGCCAACCCGCCCCTATTAAAAAGAGACTGCGCTGCGGATGGGGGTCAGGAGAAGTATTACTGTCAATTACTGTGATTTTTAATTAGTAACGAAAAACAATATTTCTAGACGGTCATTGATAATTATTCATTTTTTGGTTTATATTATTAGAATTTCCTGTGCAGGTTTCCCTACTGTCCGAAAGTAGGGTGCTCCTTGGAAACCTTTTGTCAGCTGGAATTTTGTAAAGAAAAAGAAATTAATTTTTATAGAAAGCATTTTTTTAAGCTTTCCTAGACCTAAATCAACACCTGACACATCATTCCCAGTAACACATAGAATCTGAGGTAGCACTTACACAGTCACCGATATAGTTCAAAGCTGGGGCTGTTGGGTGCTGAGACGCGGTATAGTTCCCTGGGCAGGAGCTGGCGGATGCCACTCTCTCCCAGCTCACTGCGCTGCCTCTTTATTGCCTCATCGCAACGCAAAAGCCAAACACCAGTGTTGCTGTACGCACCCCCCCACCCCCACCCCCCGCGTGAAAATCCTCTTCACGTTTCTTTTGGTTGGGGAAAACAAGTGTGGTGTAAAGTAGATTCTTCGAAAAGCTGGGCGACATATATTTAGATTGGATTCTAAATTTTGTTATACATCATTTTCGCTCTATCTTGCCTTCAGGTAACGTTTAATTTAACTTTGTTACTGCTTTAGAGAATCTCAGCCAGAAAATTACACACATCAATGGGCCTGTAAATAAAAGCAATCTTTAGCATTTTGCTGATGAATATGAAGCCAAAGACGTTAACGAAGTCTTAAAGTTACTGGCGATTCAAGTCAAGCACAGAGTCTTGGGATCTGCTATTCTTCCCCAGACTAACCTACAGAATAAGCAAGCACATGCCAAAGTTTAATATGGCTGTATCAGGATTGGGAAGCAACGCCAAGTTGATTCTACAGGCTCTACCGCTGTAAACTCTCCTTGTATTGTAAGAACAGCATCGCATTGTCTTCTCTTTGAAGCCTACCCTCATAGCTGCGTCATCACCTCCACAGAGCCCGTTGGAGCAAGCTATTATTTCTCGGGTTTTTCCAGGCTATCCGTCTGTGTTCAGACATTTCTTTTTCATCTTAAGTACCCTTTGCATCTTCCCTATGATGCTAGCACATTATGAGAAGGAGCTTGTAAAGTTTTTCCTTTCCATATTTTAGAACCAAAGGGGAAAATGTGTTATTAATTGAAGTATGACAATAGGGAGCATCATTAACATGCTCTTAGTTGTTGCCTGGCACCCTTGCATCTGTTCTAGCTCCTAGCATCCCTGTGGACAGTAGAACAAAGCACTGCCTGGTCCTGCAGCACCTGCACAATCAAAGGTGCTAGAGCCACCGTGTCAGTCTTTCTCATTGGGGAACTTTCTTTTACCCTGAGTACATCTATTTTGGAAGGAGTACAGCCAGAATTCTCCTTAGATAGGAGGATGGCACGGTTTTGTTTCACACACTTTAGACATATATATTATCAGGACAGATCAGTTTCCTAGAGAAGGGCGCCATGCTTGGTAAAATAGAGGGTCAGTAAGCAAGACCCTTGGGGTGGACTCACACTGTGAGGACGACACCGCGGTGGGTAGGTTTTGCGGTGTCCTCCGTCTGGTGGCTGTGAGTTGGAACTGACCGGACAGTTCTTATCAGCCACAAGAAAAACACATTTTGAAAATTCTGATTAGGTGAATGCCATGTATTTCATTTCAAAGAAAGCCCTATTTATTTATTTTATTTTTATTTGCTTAGCAAATGGGCAAGAGGAATTGAAATTTATAGTTTGTTTTAGTGAATAGCAGTAGTATTTGTTCTCCCAAAAGCAATTCGCTTTTTAATAAAGGTAAAATTTTCCAAAGCGCTAGCTTGCAATGGTTTGAGGGAGGAAAACATAAACATAAAATATAATTGCTTATAGTTATTTTTTATTTATTTTTACATTTAATTTTTTTATCTCATCAAATCATAAAATTTGGCCATGCGAGAGTTTTCAGAGTACTTACTATTATAAATCAGCTCAGAAACTAGTCTCCTAAGTAGCTGGATATATTTATAGATAGATAATTTTAATATTTTTCATTTAAACAAATCTAAGTATGAACAGCCAGTCATAACTTATTGTTCATTGCTACATGCTTTTGGAACCGAAGCCATCTTTAGCATTCTTACTTCTTGCCTGAAGTTAGATAAATGTAGATGGAAACACTGGTAACGAAGGAAAAATTAGGGGGGGAACGTTACTACCTAGAATCAGTTGTGTAAGTTATATTCACTGGAAGTAGAAGATGGGGTGGATGAGGGGAAGATGGATTCTGGGAGACTTTGAAGGATGGGTTGGATTTATCTGGATACAGAAACAACATACTAGATTGGAATGAAAGGTTCAAAGATGAGGCGGTATAGAAGGCAGAAGCTGAGACATTTAGAGTTTTTGAAATTTATCAAAGAAAAGAAGTCCTTTGATTTGCTGAAGGAGCCCTGGTGGCACCTGGTTGAGCATTTAAACGTCAGCAGTTGGGAGTTACCAGCTGCTCTGCAGTGCTAAACTGTGGCGGTGTGCTTCTATAAAGATTGACTGCCTTGCAAACCCACAGGGGCACGCCTTCTCTGTTCTACAGGGGTACTAGGAATTGGAATCAGTTCATTGGTTGTGTGTTCGGGTTTGCGGGGTACGCTTGAACACATACTATTTTTTTGGGGGGGCGGAAACATTTTATTGGGGACTCGTACAATTCTTTTTTTTTTTAATCAATTTATTGGGGCTCATACAATTCATCACAATACATAGATCAATTGTGTAAAGCACATCTATACATTTGTTGCCCTCATCATTCCCAAAATTCGCTAGCCTCTAATTTTCCTTTTTCCTCCCCTCCCCTTCCCTTCCTCCTCCCCTCTCCCCCATGCACCCCTAATAATTTATAAATTATTATTGTATCTTATATTACACTGTCCGGCGTCTCCCGGACACATACTATGAACACATACTATTAATTGTAATGGAGGCAGGTATGAAATCGTTTTGTGCTATATTCAATTTTCAGTTGAAAGGCTGCTTGGAAAAGGTGGGGGGGGTGCCCTTAGTAAACTAACAGTTAACAATTTGAGGTTTGTTATTTTCAAGATGGTGAAAAACATACTTCTCCCTTACTGTTGTTTTATAAAGTTGTATCATAGTTATTTAAAATAAACTTTTGATTTTTCTGTTTTGTTTTTACTTTAGTAGAAAACCAAAAGCCAAGGCACCACCTCCTCCAGCTGAGACCAAACCCACTGATGTCTCTTCATTTGATGGTTCTGTAGAATCCTCGGCTTCCGTCATGGAACAGAAAGAAAATACAGATAGAGACATTGAACTGTCAGTGGTTCTGCCTGGAGATGTTATCAAGTCTACTACTGTTCATGGCAGGTATGAGTTCTCTTTCTTCGGTGCTACGCCTCGCAATCTTTTTCCCTACAAAATTGTTCATTCCTCACTCAGTGTAGTCCTTTCTATTTTACATGCTAAAATTTTTCCTACCAATATTTTAATATCCATCCTGTGAATTTCACAATCACAGTTAATTGTCTTTAAAAGTTTTAAGCTATTTAACATATTTTAGAATTTGCTTTACCTTTTACAAAGTCCTTTCCCACAGGTAAGGTCACCAGTCATACTGATTTTGCAGATCAAAGTGAGTCAGTGACCAGCAAGAAAAGCTTCTGCATTCCTACCCGAATTACTCTTCCTTTTTAGCTGTTATGAGTTTGATTTAGCAGAAATTACTATTGAAAAGTAATATTCTGTTATCCAAAATCATATGTAGTTGGGGGTTGTATTGTTTTGTTTGGTTTTTGATTGTACATATTAGGGGGTCTCCCAGGTTATATCATTGGGGTGGTCACCCTCATGAAGTTGCGGTGTATGTGTTTTTGGTTTTTGGTGTATAAAAACCAGGACTGATGAACCTGTAGAGTCAGCAAGTGGAATGAGGTTTTGGGGGGAGGGGCACAGAGGATGGCGGGGTGAAGGGATGATGACACCAAGGAGCCATACAGGAAAAGAATGTTTGGAAACTGATTGTGGTAGCACATGTACAAAGGAATGATTTGATATGTGTATTAATCCCAATTAATAAATAAAAATAAACCAATTTAAAAGTAAAAACAAAACAATAAAAGTTATACGCAAAGAATTGATCATTGGAGGTAAAAAACAAGTCTTAAAATTTCAGTTTATAGAAATAAGTAGATGTATTAAGTAACAACTGGTTAATAATGTGTCTTTGTTTTTAACTGTGATTTTTAAATATACACCTGTTTTTAAAAGATAAAAAAATAAAATATTAGTGAAAAAACAATAACACCTAACCAAAAAAAGAGTTACTATTTGTTTGCTGATCCAAGAAGATAAATCTATTTCTGAAAGAAGGCATGTATTTTGACCTCATCTATGATTTGTTAACTTTGTGACATAGAAATGTAAACTCAGGCTTGAGCCCAACAAGCCGCACACAGGTGGCTTAGGACACTGATACTTTTAATCTCACTCAGGCACTTCCATCGAGTGGATTCCAACTCCTGCATTGGAAAATCGAAATAAAGCCAAGTGTAATTTTCCTTTCACTTCCATTCACTCTGAAGTGGAAAGTTACATGACTTGTACACTTAGTGTTGTTCTCCCTTTCACCTTCATTGGATTCTTTGTTATCAGAAGTCCTGATTAAAATGTTAAGCTTAAGCTGTATGACCCTGAGTGTAGTGTGTATGTTTATATATGTATATTAAGGTGACCAGACATCCCACTTTTGGCGGGACAGTCCAGATTTTTAACAATTTTTCCCGCGTCCTGCGGTGTTTTTAAAAAGTCTCGATTTTTTGGAAGGAATGCACAACAAGCTAGGGTATACGGTTTTTGGCTGCCATGTGGCTATTTCGGCAGGATATGAGTTTTATCAGTGGTGTCCTGCTTTTACCCCGCTTTACCAATGTTAACATCTGGTCACCTTAATATATATGTGTATTTTTAAAGTATTATCACCTGTGTTTGTCTGGAAGAAACATTTGAGATAAGCTTGATTTTAAGATTTATAATCAAAATATTAGAAATAAATGAAAATTAAAAAGCTTACCTTCAGCAAGTAATACAGAGTATTATATATTAAAATTCTCATTCCATTTCAGTAAGATTCGTTTTTTGATTCCTTTTATGTGGGGTTCCTTTTAGACATCACAGTCACCCTAGGTATGAGGTTGCGAGACCTGGAAGGAGATCTTGGTGCATAGGCAGGCATTCACCGAGGTTGAGCCTCTTTTGAGTGAGGAAGGCATTCTGTAAGTTCGACAGTGGCCATCATCTTCAATTCCGAAATAATAATATTGCTGTGGTTTGAAAATAAGTATAATAATAGGTTGAGCAATTTCAAAGTTGGGGTGTGGAGTAGGGTGGGGGTGGGGAATCAACATTTTCTGCAACATCACTGATTGCCCTAACTGTGATCACGTCTACCAGTTATTAACTTGTCTGTCGACATGGTGGTTTATCATACTTTAACACTGTGTCTGTGTTTCTTTCTCTCTGTTTTTAACCTTATAAATTTTACTTGTTGATTTTTTTTACTTTGCCATTGTTAGGCTCCTTTGAGTCGTTTGCAACCTACTCATAGGGTCCTGCGGTACAGCAGAGCACAGCACTGTCTGGTCCTGCAGCTTCCTCATTGTTTGGGGCACTGAGTCCTTCCTACCTGAGGGACACATCTTCCAGATCTCTTATCTGGCTGTGATCCACTGCCATTCCTCCGGGGTTCAGGACAGCCTGTTCCTTTTTCCTAGTCTTTGCCCTTCTTTGTCTAGACTCTAGACACTCCACCAAAGCCTGTCCACAATGGGTAACCCTGCTGGTGTTTGAAATACCAGCAGCAGCGCTTCCGGCATCATAGCAGCCCGTAAGCCTCCACGGTACAACAGACAGACACATGAGTGGTCGTTGTTTCAGCATGTGGTTTGCAATTTAAACACTGCTTTGCCATTTTAAAATTGTTTTAGTGTGGTAGCAGATACATAGCAAAACATCTGGTCCTGCACCATGCACTACATGTACAATTTAGTGACATTGGACGCTTTTATCATGTTTTGCAGCTTTCACTGCTGTCCGTTTCTAAGTTACTTTATCATCATCAGCCGAAGCTCGGTGTTCCTTAAACCTGAATTCTCCCTTTCCCTGCTTCCTTCCCACCTCTGATAACCCGAGCCTAATTTCAACAGGAGCTATTGAGACCGTTTGATTCCTGTCAACCCATTGTGTAGCCGAGTGAAACTTGCTCTGTGATAGGGTATTGGTGGATGATTTCCAGAAGTAGTTGCATTGTTGGGCCTCTTTCTTCTGCAATGTCCCTGAATGAACGCAATCATCCAAGCTTTCAATCAGCAGCTGAGCACACTTAGACCATTCAGCACCCTCTCACTCCTCATGCAGTTGTGTATATCGTTAAGTGGGGCGGGGTAGTTATACAATGCCTGTCCTTTTATATACAATCTTTTAATATCTAACTTTTTATTTACACTCTCCTCAATAAAATTTGTTTTTACTCTCATTATTCATTCTAATCATGTCTGCTTTTCAGGTTGTTTCTTTTCATACCTAACTTGGATTCTGGATCAGTTCTTTTTTTTAACAGGTTAAGAAAGATTTTACTGAGGCAGAGCAAGAACTCCTGGGAGGGAGTTAGGTGAGTTAGGTCAGGGAACTTGCCTGGGTCAGTTATTTCTATTACGTTAATACTTACAAAGACCCTTGATGTTTCTTGCCAGCTAAACCCTCCCGCATAGTTTCCTGAGCTGTAGGGACATAGTGGTTACGAGTTGAGTTGGCTGCTAACTGCAGCAGTTTGAAAACCGCACTACCCGCTCCAGAGGAGAAGACTGGGCTTTCTGTGCCTGTGAAGGGTTACAGTCTTGGAAGCTCATGAGCCAGCACCAACTCTGGCAGTGGGTTTGATTGGTGTTTGGAGTCCCTAACTCTGAATGATTTTCTAGCAATCATTTTCTTGTTCTTGGATTGCCCACGGTGGTTGAATTATCTACCTCCTTGGCTATTAAAATATGTCACAGCTGAATTATTGTTAGGATTCAATAAGATACCATGTGTTACTAGCATTAAATGAAATATTATCAGTGTGTGGCACATAGTGGTTTCATCCATTCTCTATTGAGAACTGTTTTCCCTAACCCTGCACTGTCTCCATTTTACCCTTCATCCTCTGATTCATCCTGGGGATTGAGAAACCTTATTCTCATCTTCTTAAATGAAGCAGGCTTTTCTTTCAATACTTTCCTTTGTATATCTTAAGCTTCTGCACATGACTCTTTGACTTTTACTTCCTCACTGTTATGAAAGTTTGTCCACCTGAAATTTCCTACCACCATATTTTCTTGTTTTATTTTGCATAGCTACATGGTACTGTGTCTATAAAGTATCCTTGGTCACCTCAGAATCAACTGTCTTCTCTCCAAAACTCTTACAGAACTTGAGATTATATTGTCCTATGCTGTGATTATTCTTGAATAAGCCAATCTTTGAGGGCATATTTATTTTTTATAATTGTTATTAGGATAGATTCTTGGAACAGGATATACATTTAATAAAATTTATAAAATGAGTATTATATAAAAACCCTTAGAAGTTGACAGAGGCAGCAAGTGACATTGAGTGGGTTCAGGTGGGTTCAGTGTCTTTTGAATAAAGATATTTCCCCTAGGTAAGAAAGAAGCAAGACAAGGATGCCCAGTATGGGAATGCTTCAGACACATTTTATTGTTTTGTTTTTGCTTGTTCATTTCTGAGAATATACTTTGATACCTATCTTTTTACTAGGGTTTGTTATAAAGACTTTTGTCCTAATAGTTTCATCCTTCAGAAATGGCTCACTTGTTTTGTTGGATATGTATGAGGCTCTGGTAGCATAACGGGTTAGTGTTGAGCTGTAGTTCAAACCTGCCGATCTCAAAGCAGAAGAAAGATGAGGCTGTCTACTCCCATAAAGATTTATAGTTTCAGAAACCCTAGGGACCAGTTTTACTCTTTCCTATAGGGTCTCTGTGGGTCAGAATCAACTTGATGGTGCTGGATGTGTCTTTTGGTAATCCTTATTTATTGACTGTCTGGCACTTTGCATTTACAACGATGGTAAACATTTTACAATCCTCTTTTGCATCTTATCGACAGATGTCTGCTAGTAACAAATGCTGGAATACTAGAGAATAGTCATGCTGACTGTGATGGTTAAGAACTTGGCTAGACCATAGTTCTCAGAGGCTTGGCAATTATGTAATGATGTCCTTACATCTTAGGAGCCCCGGTAGTATGGTGCTTACGTTTTGGGCTGCAAACCACGAGGTCAGTACGTTGAAAACAGCCACTCTTCAGGAGAAAGACAGGACTTCCTATTCCCTTATGGGTTCCAGTCTCAGAAACACACGGGCAATTCTGTCCTGTCCCATAGGGTTGCTAAGAGTTGGCATCAACTTGATGTCAGTGAGTTTGATTATTTTTGGTGATGCTTTGTCTTTGAAACCAAATCTTGTCCACAGGTGAACAGTGGTGTTAGTTACTTTTGTGAAGGACTAAAAGTGTGTGTGTAATTCTGGATATGTTAGGCAC